TGGCTGGACGCTATGTCAATGGCCCGCCAAAAGGGACCCACAATAGGGACTCTGTATCCCTATGTTGCTTGCATTGGGATGTATGAGAGGTCCTTGGGGTTTCTCCTTTTGCCAGACTTGGCTTACAAATTCAACGTTTAGCTCTGGTGGATTGGTTGTCGTTGATTTTCCCTTGTGCTCAATAGCTGTTTGCTTGCTTGTTTGTTTTGCCTTCTTGTTGTGCTTTTGTGTGTATCTCGACTTGTCAGGTTGTTTTCCTTCTTCATTCTAAATTCTGTGGGATTCTCTTGGTGGCTTATCTTTGCTTTCTTGCTTGCTCCTTGCGTTTTTGTTGTTTTTTCTTCTTGTTTCTGGGTGCTGCTTCCTTGTTTGGGCGTGTCTTCTTTTTGGGGACCCAAAAAGGCGCAACCGGCTTTTCCTGCTGGTGTCAAAACCAACAAAAACACCGGTACCAACTCCAAGCCAAGGAACCACAGCCCCCGATTTCCTCGTTTGCTTCCAGTGAGGGCCATGGGACGACGCTACCGGAGAGGCCGCGTCGCCGGCCAGTGAGGTGCGCGCCAGCACCACGAAGAAGATCGAGGCTGCGACAAAGGAACTCGCAGCTCAGGACACGAGATCCGAACCGCAACCGCTGTGTACGAACCAGGGGACACCATGGGCCGTCCGTCTTCGCTTGGAGTTGGTGTCTGGTTTGGTGGTTCGAAAGGAACACCGAAAGGAAAATCGTTGTGCCATGTTGGGGAGTTCAATTGTAAAGAGCCACACCAAAGGAAGGAAGCCAAGCCATAGGATCGGAATTCGGAATGGTTTGTGTTTTTGTTCTGCCTGCTTTGGGGTTAGTTTAAAGGGAAACCAGCAGGAAACTGAAGTCGTGTTTGGAATCCCTTATTTGGGGGAATCCCTTTTTGCTTTGTTTGGACCCTGGTGCCGTGTGCCACTGCAAGGGGATACCAAGAGGATCCTCTCTAATTTTGGCAAGGCCCCTTTTCCCCCTTTGACAGGCCCAACATTGCCCCAGTTTCCCCAAAGATCCTCAGGGTAGCTACTAAAGGCGCCAAAGTCTCAAGGGACGGAAAGTGCTGGCGTTCGGGTGGTGGACAGAGCACCGTAAGCCTGAAGCCTGAGTTGTCCTGCGATACGGCTTGAATTGAACTCTTGATAGGTGTGTCTGGTGTGTCCCAGGAGCACTAAAACTGGTCACGCTTGCTTTTGATTGTCCTTGATACATCTCAAAAAAGGGGGGGTCTCAGGGTCATCGCAGTCAACTGAACAGCAGCCCCGCTTTCCCCTCAACTAGACCGCTTGCCTTGGAAGCGCCACGCACAGCGACGGAGGAGTGCGCAGCGTCTTTGGAAGAACGACTGCTGCAGATCGACCGGGAGCTGAAGCTCACGAAGGAGTGCAACTGGCACCAAGCATCAAGCGCAGAAGTCGCTTGGTTTGGTCGGTTTTTCCAGGGAGAGCCAAATGAAAACCGCTAGAGTCCCTTGGTTGTACAGGAATGGCCAATTCAGCTGAGGGCTTTGGAGGATTGTCATGTCCGACTGCATGTTTTCCCACTTGGAGCCTCAGGACGATCCCTAAGACACAAATTCCGCGAAGGGCAAATGGGTATGGGTCAAAAACAAATCAGCGGATTTCAATCCGTGTTTTTTTTTCCATTTACCAGGGTTCCAATTGGGGTACCCTTTTTTGTTCAAGCCTCTGGTTTCGTTTGGTCCGTGTGTCCAGGTTCCAAAAGGTTTTGCACTCATGTTTCACATACGATGGAAAAGCCTCCTCTTGGTTGATACTGAAAGGGACCGGCCCATTTTAGAAACATCCATATGCGGGTGTGTGTTTTCTGAGAGTACCCTTTTGGGGTTGGTGCAAAGGGACACATACTTAAACACATCCATGTCCCAAGCGACAGGGGCCCCCCGTTAGATTTAATCGCCAGGACAGAGGATCCTCCAGAGACATGCAGGCACGGGCGCGGCTTGGTACCCTGTTCGGATTGTTGATAACGAATCGCCATACTTGACATGTACTCGTATGAGAGAACAGGGAACCTCGACTAGGGTTTACCCATGCGTAGACATGCTAGACAGCCTTGGATATCCGTCAGTGAACTCGCAACAGAGACGTATTGAGGGACCAAAAGAACTGCAGGGTTTGGCCATGTCCCCTTTGTCAAGTTCGAGTGTTGCTCAACCTCGAGCCACTGCCGTACCTTTCCTACGCGCAACAAGGGACATAGTTGTGTGTGTGTGTGTGTCAAACTTAGCAACCATCAAAAAGTTAAACCACAGAATGGGGTACTTGATACAGATCTGGGCCTGGAGGTTCAAGGCTGCATCCCCAGCGTTCAGTCGCTTGGGCATTGGCGCTTGGAAACAAACACGCTTATGTCGTGGCCATAAAAAGCGGGCCACCCAAAATGATAGGTGTTGTGTTGGTTTCCTCTAGAACCAACCAAAAAGAGTTTGCCCCAAAAGCGCAGCCACGAACCAACCGCTTGCAGGGGAGAATGGGTCAACCCTTTAATCGTTCTGGGGTGGGTGAAGGTCCCCCCTCAACTTGTTCAGTGGTGTCACCCTTGCACAATGGTTTTTTTCTCAACATAATTATTGGGGAACTCCCCAAAACGGCTGGCTTCCTTTTGGTTTCCCTTTTGAACCAACCAAACCAAGAGGGCAATTACCAACTAAAAATCGGAGCCAGACCGCAACCAAAAAACAATTGTCCCACTAGAAAGAAAAATCGGCGCCAGACCCTGGCTACGTGACCACAGCTACCGGGGCCTCTTCCCGCGCGCATCGGCCCTCGATCGCGCTTTTCCCGGAGGCCTTGAAGCTGCACCAGGCCGAGGCCGCCAACCTGCAGAAGCGCATCGAGGCGAGAATTTTCGCCTCGCGCATTTTTCGCTCGCGCCGCCCTTTTTCCGGTGGGAAAGTGGGATCCGGATCGAGGGCAACTCGAAATCGCAGGATGGCGAACGGGAACGGGCAGAAGGATGGCAAAAGGAGGGGAGAAATCAAGTCGTTTGAGACTGCCTACTAGCTCTCACCAAAGGAAACTGAAAGGAGATGGGTAGTTATTTCGTGTTTTTACAAGACCCTCTATTTCACACCCAGGCAAGCATCACCTATTGGACATGCTTGTCGCAAGTTGCAACAAGGCCTCTATGTGTCACCCTCACAGGCGGAAGGCTGCGTTCGGACCAGCGCTTGTTGATTTTGTTTGTGGAGGGCGGGTTGGCCAGGTGGAGATTGTCGCCTGTGTGTGTTTTTTGGTGCGTTAGTGCTGAGTGCTGTTTTAAGTCAGGCTCGGTCAACATGACCTGAATGCTCAATTGGCTGTGGGTCAAAACCAATGGTACCATTTTGGGGTAGGTGCACCACCCATTCTATTCTATTTTAGTGGAGATTGGAATGTTTACTCTTTTTTTTGACCCATGGCCCATTGTCTATGTGTATTTGGGGTTCGGGCATTGGAGATTCACCTTAGCACATATCCAGGAGGACGAACAGAGTTTCCCACGTTTTTAGAATTTAACGAGCTCGGGTACAACAAGCTCACGCACAATGGTCCGGGGCCCACCCAGATCCAGGTGAACCTAGCAGATTCCTCCAAGGGAATTACTTTTGCTCTTAATCATATGTCATATTGGTCACAGCCCTGGAACTGCAGCTTAAGGTTTCTCAGGAAGCCATTTTCCAAGGGGAGATGCAAGTTATAAGTTACAGCCATGAAGCAAACATGCTGGGTGTCCATTGGAACGGGCTGTTTGTCACCTGAGGAGAGCCAGCAACGAGAGCAGGAGGCCCCGGCGTGGGAGATGATTCGCAACCAGGGGTTGATTCCCCTTGTGAAGGGAAGATACTTCTAGGTCCCCCAGTAGTGCCCTTTTACCGTTTCTTTTTTTGGGAGGGTTCCCCTACTAAAATAGACTACAGGAAAAAAAGAGGTGCCCTTGCTCTAAGCTCTCTACTGGAGGACCTAGACTTCAAAACTCATTCTTCCTGCAGGGCCTGGGAAGTGTGCCATTTTTTGAACCGTTCGTTTCCACAAGCAACAGCTTTCTCCACTAGTCGCTTTCTGGCAAGAATTCGTTGAACAAGCGGGACACTTGGACCTCGAGGGGATACTTTCAAAAGAAAGACACCCCACATGTCCTTGTCAGAAACCATTCTCCTGGCGTGCCCACGGTACAAAATTATCCCGAACCTGGCCAGTCCAAGCAGAAGAGAGCTTAAATTAAACACAAAGCAGGATGCAAATGTAGCCTACAGCCAGTCAACGAAAATATGTCTGCGTTCGAACCTGGTGGTTGGCTAGAGACACGTAAAAAGGACAGGGAATGCAGCCCTTAGGGAGCTCAGTTTTTTCAGGGACACTCATTTTGGTCTGGTGAAGCCCATTTTTTGGGATTAAAACTGGAGTTGCAGACAACTCTGGCAAGGAATGCTGGTCCACAGATGCCCTGCCAGGATAGAAATCCTCCCAGGAAGGTGTGGGAAGGCTTAGCGCTGGTCAGCTAGCCTAGCATGCCCCAAGGTGAGCGCGAGAGACCAGGGCCCAGGTTGCGATGTACTTGTTTATGCTTACATCTGGACATTTCCGGACAACGCAAAGACATCACGCCGATTACTACTCGCAAATTATCGGCGAGAGTTGCGATTATTTTCGTGTATGACAACAAGTGATAGTACGGTAACATTACATGATAATGATCACTATTACCATTGTTTCGTCCATCATTACTACATTTCCTCTCATTATTACTTAGACTTAGTGCATATTGATATTTTTCCAGGAAGCCAAAAGGGCAGGTGGTACACTCCCGCTCAGTGATAAATTTTAGTTACATTCGTTGCAGTGAACTCTTTCCGACACCCATTCTGCAAGCCTTGCAGGAAGGCGTTGGGCGAGTTGCTTGAAATTGCGACCCAGGGTACAAGGTGGAACACTCGTCGAATAGTTCAGCCAAGTTTTCAGGTCCTTTTGTATCCCTTTCGAAAGCATCTCATCGGCACTTAAGTCTTGGGAGAGCTTTCTGAGAGGCATTCAGAGAGGGCATTTACCCTTCTTTCCACTAACATAGCATCTGTGGGAGCGCACCTGGAAGATCAATTTCCCGAATCCTGTCAGGTGCTATGTTAGCGGGAGGGTACTGGTCTCAAGTCACAATGCGGTTCACAAATCGGCGCCCTAGGTGTCCTTTTTGGTTGTTTTGGTAGAAAAATAGATGGCGATTCCTGGTTTACCTGGTGGTTTAGTCATCTACCAGGGCCATCTATTTCCCCTAAAAGGACACCTATGATTGGCGCATATTGGCGCCCTTTGCCAGCTTCTATCCTTGCCATGATGTAGCACTGGTCAGGTGATCCCGGGCACCCTGTCTTACTCACCAAAATTGGGTACCTGAAACGTATCAGGGTGTGTCACTTGTTTGAGGGTAAGTTGTTGTTGTGATTTTTGTTTTCCGGTTTTTTAAGGGACGCCAAAAGGAACGCCATGATGTTAGCGGGTTCCCCCCCCCAAAAGAAAGCCCCCCCCCACCCAACGCCCGAATTCGAATTCACCGGCCAGCCAGGCGCAGCTGAAGTCGCCCAAAGGACCGCAGCTCTTGACGTGGAACCAAGCGCCTTTTTGTCGCATTCTCTGCGCAGAATGCGATAAGGGAATGAGGGAATGCACCCAGGCTTTGGTCCCCTTAAAGGAAACCACCAGTTGGATGGTTAGTGCGGGTCATTTTCTCATTCCCTGCTGAGCACCAGCAAGATTAGGGTTAGGGGGTTTGCAGGAAAGATTGAAGGAACGTTCTCACCCAGCTTAGTTTGCAGGAGTGTACCTTTTTTGTTAGGCACGGAGGTAAGATTGAACACGCCCTCAAACATGAAGCCCGAAGTTGAAGCAGGGGAGTGGGTAGGGTGGCCTTGTAGCAGAGAGCGACCAACTTGATCCATGAAATGGTTCCTTTTGTTGAGTCCAATTGGGGAGCTCTTGAATGAGTCAAGGTGGATCGAGCAGCGGGGACTTCGCAGCATGGTGCTTTGCACACCGGAAGGTCTTGAGAAGCTGCGATTTTTCCAGACTGCTGCTTCTGAAGCAGCTGATTGATCAATGCATGGTTGAGGGCAATATCAATACAGATTCTGAGCCGCAAAGGCAGCCATTGCAGCCCTGTTTAGTAATATTAAGGCCGCCTTTGTGGGCCATTAAGGATTTAGAAAACATCAAGAACCGTTCGCAGTCCCTTGGTTTTTTGATTCTCCAGGACAAGACTCAGAGGTCCAGGCGCGATGGGCTTACGCTCATTGTGGAGATGCATTGGGCGTCACGGGCTCGGATCGGAATCCCACAAATATGTTTTCACCAAACGACATTACCATTCTTATTTGTTTTTCCGTTTATGAATGATTGGCTTCATGTGGGTCTATGCCACAGAGTTGAGCCACGCTATGCCGATTCCATGCGATGTTCTCGGGTGCGCAAGAGGCGTCACGCCTGAGCATTCAGGGCGCTTTCGATGGGTCCACGTCCTGGGTTCCTTTTCCGTTTTCGTGGCCCCGGACTGCACAGGAGTCCGACGAGAAGAAGAGGCAGCTGCTCAAGGATACGCGTGGGTCAGGGAAAAAGGGCAAGGTGCGGGCGGCAAAGAGTACAGCCCGCTGGAGTTGGCAATTTGTGTGATCACGGTGTCAACCCTTGGCAGTTTATGGGAGTCGTTATCATTCATATGAAAACAGACGGCAAGTGAGAGGCAGCGGGAGCCGTAGGTTGGCAGTAACGTGTGTTTTTTGCTCAGAGACCGAATCGCTGGGTGCCTCCCTTAGGGCTGAAACATCACCTGGGCTGATTTCTCGAGCTTCTTCATGGATGGTGTCTTCTCTCGGGTTTTTCTCAAGCGAAATATGTGTATTATTACAGGTGTTTTTTTCTCTCCACCCGACGGAAGTGCCAGGCGTCGCATTCGAACGCCGCGTCGCTGGTATCGCAGCCCAGGAGCTTCTGACGCACCGGGCGGCCTCGCTCCAGGAGGAGCGATGGGGCGTCAGGGGACGTTTTGAGAGGACCCGGTTCAATGATTCTCCCAACCACTTGGTTTTTATGGTACCTTTTGTAGGGCTTGACATGATGGCCCCAAGCAAGCGGGTATTTAGAGCAACGGGTGAGAACTCACTGAAAGTATGTGGAGGCTGTGTTTTGATGTGTGGATCCCTCTTGTCAGGTGGGCCAGCTATGTGAAGCTGTTAAACTGCTCGGCCTAGCCAAGTTGCTCTGTCTTTGACACAATGAGTCTCGGGAAAGAGGCAGCAAGGGTTTTGTGATGTCAAGCCCTGGCCAAGGATGCATTTACCTTGAAGTTATGTGTTTTCGTCTGCATCCTCACTCTCTCATGCATCCGCCGGCCATGTCCAGGCTTCCAAGGAGAGTGCCGAGGCTGAGAAGAGCCTGCAGGCATCGGCGGGCGAGGTCGCCCTTTGGTCTCCGAAATGATTCGAAGCGAGCCATGAAAAAGTTTCCACAAGGTAGCCGTTAGACAATTTCTGGGCTTGCTGGAAATTCCACAGCGACAGCTGGGTCAATTCGCCAATCCTTTGCAGCGTCGCTGGGGATACTCCTTGGGCTCATTGAACGGCCGCCACCGCAGCGGGCCGCGAGCAGCAACTGAGGTTGGGGCGAGCAGCGACGCTGGGAGTTGCAATTCCCTCAAAACGGCAGTTGGTGCACATGAATCCCAAGCCCAATCAATCAAAATACGTGCCATCCGGTGCAGGCGCTGCTTCAAGAGCAGGGAAGCCTTCAGGACAGCGCAGATCTATGCTTTGCCGGGTTTGGTGAACAACCTGCGACGACCAGCGACGACCAAACAGGTCAAACGATGAAACGGTCTGAAACAGGGCACCCCCTGTTTGGGGAGTGGGTGAAGCTATGGGAAGCTACCCCAAATGTGACAGACAGTGTTACTGAGAACGCGGCATTGGTGAAGCACACGTCAAACAAGGGACGCCCTCAACATGGCCAGACTTCAGAGTTTTTGCCAAGAATTGGGACTCCCTGGTCCTTGGGCAATGGCCAGTCACCAGTCACTCTCCACTGTGAAACTGCAATGGTTCTCCTTCGTTTTGACCTCCCGGTCGATTTCTTTGAAGCATAAGTCTCAGCTTGAGGGCGGCAAGGTTGTTGTTTTTCTGCAGGAGGAGTATCGTGGTGTGATGGAAGAGATGAAGATCCAGGCGCCAGCGGTGATTTTTGGTACATGCCCTCCAAGGCTCCATTTTCTGCCGGATGGTAGATTACATCGCGTGAAGAATAACCGTTTTTCTTTGTCTTCCGTTGAAACCACGGGTTCCCTCAAAGACACACCCACACACATGCAAAATCATGCGAAGCTGCGCGTGTGCCTACCGCCAATGCAATGTCTTTGGGTGACGCCATAAGACCGATGAACTTGTGTGTGTGTGTGCTGCGGTAAGGTTTCAATTTGGGTGCTCGTTTTGTTGAGAATACGCTTGTAAGGTTGCTTTAAAAGAGATGCCGAGAGGAAGCAGCCAACTTTTGTGGGAATTCTCTTCGAGACCATCCCACTGCGTGTCAATCATGGTCCAATTTGGAGGTCCCTCAAACTGGGGGATTTACAAATGCCTTCTGAACATGTCACCTAGCATCGTCCCAAAGAGCAACCTCTTCTCGGATCCTCCCAAAGAGCACGATGTTTAGGGCCCGAAAATTGGCCTTCGCCGGGCGCGTAGGTCGTGTGCGCCTTGCGGTTCAGATTTGCCATCGCCGTAATGACAGGGGACTGGACGACGAATCTCTTCCACCAAATCATCAATGCGCCCCCCCCCCCCAATTACAACATGTCCCAATTACAAGCGACACCGCCGTTGATCTATGTCAGAGGTTTTCCCATTTGTTCTGGACAAGCACCCGCCACGGCCCGAAAAAGTGTCGCAAGGTGAGCAAGGGCAACGAGCACTACTCGAAGCTGCGGGACTTGGAGCAGGAATGCGAGAAATCAATGCCACACATGAGGCTCATTCACCGGGATATGCCGTTTGTTTTTTTTCTTTTTTTTCTTTTCTCGCGACTTCTCGTGTTACTTGTGGGGTTGTGACTGAATCAGCTGGCTGAACCCGTGTTACTTGTGGGGCTGCCACTGAATTTGCTGGCTGCTGGCAGACCAAGCAGGTGCATGAGGGCAAGATGAATTCAGGCGAAAGAAACGCAGAAGCAGGGACTTGTTGGCAGCAAGAAGCGACTGGAAAAGCCGGCAGCCGCCTCTTTTCGCAACCTCCAAGGATCAATCAGGGCACCAGCTCACCGTGTCAAATCGACACCGTCTTCAGGCAAACACGAAAGAGAACTGCTAAACAGGTTCCAATTCTATGATAGAACCTATGGGTCCAAGTGGCTGAGTAAATAAACCCATTTCTGTTCGAACCGATGGGTCCAAGTGGCTGAGACAAGGCTGTGGCTTAAAAAACCGGAATTCCAAAAGGGGTTACCCTGTTAAGTGGAAGCATGGACCAAAACCTGCGGTTTGCCCCGATCGTTTGTTTTTTTGAGCCACACCCAACAGAGTTCGGGACCCAAGTCTCAGTGTCCAGGACATTCAGACCTTCGAGGATGAATCCGAGCTCCTGACACTGGGGCTCCATGAGGCTCGCGTTTCGCTCGTTTCGCGTTTCGGTGGAGTGCAGAGCCGGTGTCCGAGCCCTTTAAAGGGAAGCCAAAAGGGAGTGACGTTGAAACAGTTGTTGAAGCCAGGGCTCAAGAAAAAAAATCCTGTTGCAACCACCGATTTGAAACACATGTGGCTTTTTCAACACCAACATAAAGTTGGAAACCACCAATTTCAAGTTGCAATGTTTAGATGTACAATGTAAGGATCCCTGTTGAAACCATGGTGAAAAAGAAGGCGCTGAATCGCCCAATGGTCAGAGGTTCTGGGGTTTGGTCAACAGTGGTGAAGTTGTGGTCGGGACGTGGGGGACTTATTCGAATTTCTTGTGTAGGTTATGTAGATTAGGCAACAACGGGCAATAGTACTTAGCGGTTTTCTGTTGCCCCCCGATCAATTTTGCAGGCTGATGGACATCAGATTTTGGGTGGTTCCCTAGCGGATTAGTTTGATAACATTTCCAGCAGATCGTCATCCCTTGATGTTCATTTAAGGGGGGGACACATAAGCAGCCCTGTTTTATTGTGGCCCACACATTGGACAAGTGGACCACCAGAAATGGGTGTTCAGTTTCCTGTTAGCCAGTTTTGTTTAACCGTTTCTGAGTTTGTCTACTGTTCCGAGAAGAGTCGCCACAATAGTTTCCGTTTGGAGACATACCCATGTTGCCGCCGTCACATCTTGATTGCGACTCTGGTCGTTCCCACAATGAAGAGGCGACGCGTGTGTGAACAACATAAGTCTTCCGACCTCGGCTGGGGAAATGTTTTGTTGCAAAGATGGGCATGTGTTTGCTCCTCAGGGAACATTTGATGCGCAGCCTGACGCATGGTGGTTTTGAGCATCACCTTAGGGCCAGTTTTTTGATTTGTTTCCTCTTGATGAGGTAATGTTCAACAGGCAACAGCGAATCCTGTGCAAGAAGATGAGTACAGCTACTGGGTGCCTGAATTTGTCTCCACTCATTCACCGGAAGTTGCTATTTTCTAATCCCCCCCCATTTACCACCCGGTGAGTGTGTTGTTTTGAACTTAGAATTTGTGTGATGAGGGCAATGAGGCCCGGGCCTCCTATTTTCCGGCTGGCCCGGAGCTACGTGGGCTTCCACCCACCGGCTGAGTGCATCGGCTCGTAACGCCTCGTAGAGATCCAACAGTCAACGAGGTGTCCAAGCCGGCTACGGTTATGGTTTCAACAGCCTTCCCTTTCAAAGGGCTGCATGGATGTGCCTTTTTTGAGGCTACCCTTTTGGTGGTTTTGACAGGAAAGCCAAAAGGAACACCGTTGCGCCGTTTTAGGGGGGGGGCCCTAAAACAAAACACACACCCTCATGGCAGATTCCGCCCCAAAACTTTGCTCAGGCGGAGAATCGTAGCGGCTTCCTGCAAAAGGACCGCGCTGGCCTCGCACCAGTTCGCGGCAAAAGCTGAACCGAGCAAACAAAACACAGCAACACAAGGCACGTGTGCTGATTTGTTCAAGCCGGTTTCCTCTTCTTTTCTTTTTTTTTTTCTGGGGGAGGAGGTTCCCTGGGCTTGCAAAATTGTTTCGGGAGGCGCCTAGCATGGAGAAACCCGCATTCGCTTTTTGCGTGGTTTGCACTACCCCGAAGGCACCAAGCCAGTGGGTAAGAAGTGAGTAGGCCATGTCTCAGGAGCACGAGCTCCTGCAGGCGGGTGTTCCGGATGGTCGGCTGCAGCAATGGGCCAAAGAGGCCGGGCTCGGCTGCCTGCCGCGGCTCCTTTTTCGGGGGACACGCAGATTGGCCGGGTTGGGTTGGTGGCTTCCCTTTGAACACAACCCCCCCCCCGAAGGGGGAAAAGACACGCTCACAGAAAAGAAAAAGAAACACCAGAAGGGCTTCTCCATGGAGCCAATGCAGGAGAGGTTCCTAGAAGTCAGAACCAACCCCTGCCCAAGGCTCTGGAAGAAAGCCTGGGGCAACCCTCATGGCTTTATGTTCAATCAAGGAGCCAGCAGTGAATTGGTGAACTGTTGCTGTGGGGCAGAGCCCCCTGTGTTCAAGGGGTATGTAAAAGGGGTGCAAGTTGTACAAGCACCCCTGGGAATTTGGGGGAAATCCAGCGCCCCCTTTGTACTCAAGCCTTGAGCTGAAGACTTGGGTTTTTTTCACCAGGTCCAGGGCTTCCGGGTCGCGGCTAAGCTGCAGACCTACGAGGATCGGACCAAAGCCCACCTGGGCCGTGGCACGGGGCTTCTTTGTTTTCTTCTTCTTTTTTTCGTGGCTTGAAAGTTGAAAGGGAAGTCAAAGGGACCACCCATTGCTTTACATTGCATCCCACTACAATGCATTTTGCCATACATTGCACTACATCATTGCATTTTGCATTGCATCGCATCGCGTTACATCACGTTACGTTACGTTTCATTACATTGCCCTGCAAGTTACTGTCGCCACACACGTCACATGCGTTACATTGCATGACACTACATTGAGTTGCAGTGCATTGCTTTGCGCTGCATTGCATTACATTACATTGCACAACATTACAGACTGACTCACTCACGCACTCACTTACTGACAGACAGAGATAACAAGATAGAGAGAGAGAGAGAGACACGGAGACGGAGACGGAGAGACGGAAACAGAGAGACAGAGAGAAAACGGAGAAAGAGACAGAGACAGAGACACAGAAAGAGAGAGAGAGAAAGAGAGAGACAGAGAGAGAGACAGAGAGACAGACAGACAGAGAGTGAGAGAGAGAGGGAGAGAGAGAGAGAGAGAAAGAGAGAGAGAAAGAGAGACAGAGATAGAGAGAGAGAGAGAGGGACAGGAGACGGAGAGACGGAAACAGAGAGACAGAGAGAAAACGGAGAAAGAGACAGAGACAGAGACACAGAAAGAGAGAGAGCGAGAGAGAGAGAGAAAGAGAGAGAGGGAAAGAGAGAGAGAGAGAGAGGGAGAGAGAGAAAGAGAGAGAGAGAGAGACAGAGAGAGAGAGAGAGACAGACAGACAGAGAGAGAGAGAGGGAGACGGAGGGAGAGAGAGAGAGAGAGATAGAGAGAGAGAGAGAGGGACAGAGAGAGAGAGAGAGGGAGAGAGAGAAAGAGAGAGACAGAGAGACAGAGAGACAGGCAGACAGAGAGAGAGAGAGAGAGAGAGATAGAGAGAGGGAGAGAGAGAGAGAGAGAGAGATAAAAAAAAAACAAGGGAGAGAGAGAGAGAGAGAGAGTGAGATAGAGAGAGAGAGAGAGAAAAACAAAGGAGAGAGAGAGACACAGATAGAGAGAGAGAGAGAGAGAGCCGGAGAGACATGCAGAGAGAGAGAGAGAGGGAGAGTGAGAGTGAGAGAAGCAGAGAGAGAGAGAGAGAGGGAGACAGAGAGATGTCAAATATCATGTTGCACTACTTGTCACTTGTGCATGCATGATGTACACTACCCGACTGCAGGCCTTGAGTCTACCAGGAAAAGAGTGCATGCTGGCTGACTACATTTGTGTTTGTGATAACCCAACAACACTTGCACTAGAAGTAAAGTATCAACGTATTTTAACGTGGTAGCGGAGCTGAGATCCTAAACATAGGGGAGCTCCAGTAACAGCAGTAAGTACTACAACTGCACAGGCAACCAACATGCCCAACTACTACGACATGTCAGGAGAACCAGCAGCCGCGTCAGCACAACCAACTACAGGAGCAGACAACGGGCCCACAGCAGAAGAGACAATAGGAGCCACAACTACAAAAAACAACACAGGAGCAGGAAGACGTCCAAAGGCTACACAAATACAAACTGCCACCACCATTCTTCACTGGTGACTACTCACAGTATGAAGAGTGGCTGTTCAAACTACAAGCATATCTCGGACTTACCGACCGGGACTTCGACATGGTGCTACAACTAGCACAAGCAGCTACAAGACAAATTGAAGATGCAGACATCAGAGCACACATACGCGACCCTACACAGGCAGCAAAAGCAGTAGACCTCTCACGAGATCTACACTACATCCTCATCAACATCTGCCAAGGAGCAGCAGCTACAGTGGTTAGACAAAACCGCTACAATGCCAATGGATGTGAAACACTACGGCTTTTGCACAACAGGTTCAGCCTACCAGTAGGAACACGCAGTGTTGGCTACCTCACCAAACTACTGGAACCTACATTCAATGAAGCACAATTTGAAGAACAATTCCTACAGTGGGAATACGACATCAACCGCTACGAGAAAGACAACGGCACAGCACTACCAGATGGAGTAAAGATTGCAATACTACTCAACAAGACCAAAGGAGCACTCCAACAGCATCTCCAACTACGTGCTGGACAGATCACGAACTACAACGAGATCAGAGTTGTCATCCTGGACTACTACAAAACCATCTCTGCATTCTCAAGAGCGAGCTCAGCAGTTGGCACAAACTACAATGGTGGGACAGCACCGATGGACGTGGACAACATTTGGAGAAAAGGAAGAAACTACAAAGGCAAAGGCAAATATGGAGGCAAAGGACACTACAAAGGAAACAAAGGAAAAGGTAAGTACAGAAGCAAAGGCCACTACAAAGGATTCGACAAAGGCAGCAAAGGAAACTACAACAAAGGAGGATACAACAAGAACAAAGGAAAAGGCTACTCAGGATCCAAAGGACATGGATCAAGCAAAGGCTACAAAGGCCAAGGAAACTACAGCAAATCAAAAGGAAAAGGAAACAACAATTACACAACATGCCATCGATGTGGCAAACCAGGCCACTGGGCACAAGACTGCAGAGTGCCAGTATGGCACATAGGAGAAGGAGAAGAACTACATCCACTAGAACAAGAACAAGCAGATCACGACAACAATGAAGAACTACCTCAGGATGTGAACGACACTTGGGACTGGTACTACGAAGGAGAAGAAGGACAACACGAGGTGAACTACATGGAGGAGAACTGGAACGACTACGACTATGACAACAGCTGGGATTGGAATGACAACAGCTATGAGGACACTGCAAACTACATTGGAGGCATCAACGAGTCACACCTCACAATTGGACACATCAGACAAGCAAACTCACGACTACACAAGCACAAATCCAAATCACTACTTGGCAAGAGAACAACACACACAACATCATGGAACGACCACAGCAAGAGCTTTCAACAATTCCTACAAGAAGACAACACACAGCCACACTTTGATATAGCAGCAGCCAGACAACAACAAAGGAACAAGAAGATTTGAGAACACTATCACACACTACATCATGTACTCCAACTTCAAGTCATACCACCACCTGCTGATCGACTCAGGAGCGTCTACACACGTTTGCCCGAAGGACTACGCACCAGACCTACCGCTACGACCTTGTGGAGAATCGGTTCCACAACTCTACACGGTTACCAACAAGAAGATTCCTGTCTACGGCATCAAGTACGTTCCCTACAAGCAGGACAACTTCAGGATCATGATACCCTACTACGTTTGTGATGTGAAGTACCCAATCCTCAGTGCATCAAGACTACTTGATAGAGGATATGGACTTGACTTCACTCCACGACACTGCACCATCACACATGGACAACAACAAGCACACCTCATCAGACACTCAGGACTTTTCTACCTACGAGCAGAGAAGATCGACATCCCTACAGGATTCGACATCTATCCAATGACTACAGACAGTGGAAAATCCATTGCTGTGATTCAACCTACAGAGAGAGCAGCACAACAACAAGAACAAATCGCACCACTCACACACACAGACCAAGGACTACGACAGATCCTTGGTGGAAACACTGACTACTGGAAACTTGATGGTGACTACGCCATCAGAGTACACAAACGACCACGCAAAGCACTATTCACACCACACAACAGTGGTTGCCCAATACCTGAAGAAGAACTAGATGATTGGCGACTAACCATCATCAACAGACAAGGGCAAGAGCAAGAACAACTACAAGAGAACCCAACACAACTTTCCAAGCAAGAACTACAACGAAGACTAGAAGGTGACAACTGGACTGGAGAAACCAGATTCAGAAGAAAGATAACACCTACACGCAGAGCAACATCAAAGACAACACCAACAAGGCAGAGCTCACAACCACAACGGCTAATGGACACACCACCAACCAGATCAAAGATCCAACTACGAGCACCACAAAAGATATGGAGACCTAAAGCAGCACCTTCTACAAATCTTGACACCGCACAACCAAAGGAGACAATCCACAGACCACTCACAGCACAGGAGGACAACCAAGACTACTGGGAAAGACAAGGTGAACACTGGATAAGACACCACACATCACTTAGAACAACTCTATTCACTCCAACAGATGGACCAGGACATCCACCAATCAGCACACTCGAACCTCACAGAACTACAATCACTCACAACAACTTTGGAGAAGTTTCCCAACGCAAAGATGACTGGACAGTCATGGGCAACGCAGCACTACCATTTCAATGGAAAGGAACAACAAGGTTCACCGTGAAGAAAGACTACGAGTACATCCAGGAGAACCACGATGAGGAACAACAACACGAGCATCATGAAGCACACAGAGCAATAGGACTACGACAACCTCAGCAGCCCACTCCACAACAAATAGCAGAACACAACTTGACACACCTACCATACAGAAATTGGTGTCCAATTTGCGTTCAAGGCAAAGGACGCCAGGACAACTACAAGAAACAACAATCACGACAACCCATCATCCAAGTGGATTTTGCCTACATCAAATCACAACAAGATCCGAAGACCATACCAGTCTTAACGGCAGTTGATGTTACTACACAACTGTGCATGGCGGTATTGGTTCCGGACAAACCATCAATGATGGACTACATGATCAACAACCTACAAGCATTCATCTTTGAATGCGGAAGAACACACGGCATACTACAAAGCGACAACGAAGACACACTCAATGCACTACTACAAGCAACAGCATCTAAAGTCGGCTCAATGACTGTACGACATTCACCATCCTACAGCAGCAACAGTCAAGGAAGCGTTGAGCGACTACATAGAACACTTCTCGGACAAATCCGCGTCGTCAAAGCTCAGGTTGAAAGCAACTACAGCATGACGATGTCCACAAAGCACTGTCTACTACCCTGGATAGTACGACACGCAGCATGGACGGTAAATCGCTACGTCATTCACTCAGACGGCTACACAAGCTTCGAACGCCGCTGGGGAAGAAACTA